GTGCTACATTTCTTCTGTTTTGTCCACTTTTGTCAGATTTTCTAGAGGGGCTATGTCGACTTGTTGTAATGCGATCAAAATTAAGAACCATAACATTATAATACACCCTCTTTGAAAAGGTCGTTTATACAGGAAATATGTTTTCACAACAGAAATATGTATCGGTATAACAAATACCTGATACTGAAATACTCTTTTCTAAACTATTGTGAGAGTTTTTAATGTTGATTTGATCACCTGCCCCACTAGCTGTACACCTTTGTCATTGTTTTTGTACAACATTCCCGCTCGACATTAAAGCCTAGGACTGCGTGTACTTCCCATAGGCCACAATTATAATCATCTAGCGAGTGCTACATTTCTTCTGTTTTGTCCACTTTTGGCAGATTTGCTAGAGGGGCTATGTCGACTTGTTGTAATGCGAGAACCATAACATTATAATACACCCACTTTGAAAAGGTTATAGACATAGTCGTTTATACAGGAAATATGTTTTCACAACAGAAATATGTATCGGTATAACAAATACCTGATACTGAAATACTCTTTTCTAAACTATTGTGAGAGTTTTTAATGTTGATTTGATCACCTGCCCCACTAGCTGTACACCTTTGTCATTGTTTTTGTACAGTTTTTTAGATGAAGACTATTCTCAGATTTTGGTCAAACATGCTGCGAGTGTTCGCTGGAAAAACGAGAACAAACACAGTATACGAGAATTAAATGAAAGTCAAAAGAGTGTTTAAACCGAGCTTGTACTTTTAGAGCATTTTCTGGTCTGTCTACGAAGCGGCCATGCAACACAAGGTCTCAATCTTACTATTTCTCTGTTACATGTACATCTTTTTCATTTAGAACGCATAAAGTTACACATTACAAGTTGAAGATGGTGTGGAAAGGCTATTTTCTTTGTACTCGTCTCTAAACACGACTTTAACAAATCAGTTGTTTTAAGCGAAAGCGATGATTCAATCCGTTTTATTCAGTCTTTGTGATTTAGGCCTCAACCTTTTAGTTTTGTTCCAGGAAACAGGTACGACTGTAACTGAGCGTTGTCATGTCTGGCTTTAAGAAAAAATTAGGGCAGCAGTTTTCAACATCTATTAATTCTTTTAATTTTTCACAATTGTAAATGTTTGTTTAGCTTAAATATTAGTTTATAGTCAGTTACAAAAGTGTCAGGCGTGAAGCTTATATGTATTTTTAAATAATCATAATAAAGTTACAGGTTTTCGGTAGTTGGGCGATCACTTGACAGAGTGTTACTCAAACAGTCCTCGGCGTTATCTTTTAATAAAATATTCCATTGAATGTCACTAAGACAAATTCTGTAACAGCGTTCATAAATGAATATAAACGTACAAATCTTTATAGAGGCAATAAGAACAATATGGTCTAGCAACACAAACACAAATGCTTGTTGTAACTCTTTCACACACCAGACTGATCCCTGGTAAGTACACCTAAAATTGCTAGATATCTTGACTTCATCCTAGTGTTTAAAAGCGCTAACGCGCTAGGCCTCGTCACACCGTTGTGAGATATAAACTGCAAAGTTTTTTCATGCCGTTACACTTTGAAATGTTATGTTTCCATGATTTTGTTAGTTCTTTCTGTTTTAATTTGTTTACCGCAGTTTCGCCATTCTTGTATTATTTTCCCATCTAATTGTAATTGTTAGGCCTTGCTGTTTGTTTCCTAGTTTTTGCTGTCATGTTAGAGGACTCTTCTTCCATATACGCAATATTTCTGTGAATTTGCTTGATTTAATAAAATATTGCTTTAACCCTTCGTCTTCTTTCGAGACATTTACGTTATACTATCCTAGTTTATATCAGATATAAGATACAAGATCGTTTCTTAATAATTCTCTTCCGTCTACTCTCGTACATTCTATTCAGCTAGTCGTTTTCTTTTCATTCAATTACGTGTACTACATGTACTGCGTTAGACTAGGGGAGAGCGGTGCACAAATAGCTCAGTTGGGAGAGCGTTAGAATGAAGATCTGAAGGTCCCTCGTTTGAATCAGTCAACTCAGAATCAGGCCGGTTAGCTCAGTTGCTTAGAGCATGGTGCTAATAACACCAAGGTCGCGGGTTTGATCGCCGTACGGGCTAGCCTATTTTGTTCTCTGGGATATCAGCTCTGCTCTTTTCGCAAAGTGACGGGTGGTCTCGTGGAAATCCCTGCTGATTAGCTGACGTGGTGGAAATAGCTCAGTTGGGAGAGCGTAGGAATGAAGAGCTGAAGGTCCCTGGTTTGGTCCTGGGTTTTGGCAGATGCTTGAGGTGGGCCTGTGACCAAAATTCACTGTGAACCAACCACGCTGTCTATTTGGCCACCCATAGCCACAATGCTATCTACATTCAAAATGGCTGCTAATAAGGGAGTGGTGGTTCCATGGTGTAATGGTTAACACTCTGGACTTTGAATCCAGTGTACTTTCTTGCGGCAAAAAAAGCACAAGCTTGGAGATACTGCTGGTGACCCTATAAGTGATTTAGTCTTTGCAGCAATGTGAGCAAGTATCACAGTCGTCAAGGTTCCATGGTGTAATGGTTAGCACTCTGGACTCTGAATCCAGCGAGCCAAGTTCAAATCTTGGTGGGACCTGCTTATGCCACGAATGTACACAGGACCCGCTTTGAAAGTTTTTTTAATCAGCAGTGAGCCCCAAAAGCTCAGGTAGGGAGCATGACTTCAGTTCATCAAAGCACAGTCTGTCTAGTTAAGGAAGTTAACGTAAAAGGGTAGGTCTCTGCTTGTAGAATGCAGGCACCGATCCCGCTACCTCTCGCATGCTAAGCGAGCGCTCTACCATTTCAGCTAGTTCCCCTGGCCAAACAAGGAGAGATGTCTTCGCCTTTGACATTTCCTCAAGGTGTAGAAAGTCTTCCATGTTAGGTCATTTTCCTGCTTTTGTTCATGCTCTTTTTGTTCTTTACCTCTGGTAATTATGATGGCTGCCATCTTTTATTAGCTAATTTCTTCTACTGCTTGCTGATTTCCTTCAGTGTTTCTTTAAATGAAACTTTCTGAGCTTTCCTGTTGTCGGACCACACTTTGCATCAACTTCTGTTTTTTTTTGTTGTTTTTTTTACATGTGCTTTATTACAAATAATTGACTTGGCTGTAGAGTCTGGACCAATCAGACACACCATTTTTCATTAGATTTAACAAATCAGTTATTCATTAGATTAACAAATAGTCACAGACCCCTCACCCAATAAACATACTGGGTGCCAGAATGTCTGCGAATGACAATAGGCCTCTGATTCCATGGCAACCAATGCTGATATCACTGGTTTTATTGCCCAAAGGAATGTGAGTAGAGAAACTCACTCATTGTCCTCATAGGAAAGACAAGAGAAATGGACTGTTCTCTAATTAATTCATAGGAAAACCTTTCTTTGAATGAACACACATATCTTGTTGCTGTCCTTGTATATTGTCTTTTATATTGTATACTGTTTTATGCAGGCTTATGATAGAACCACTCGTTCATGTCATCTTACCTATCAGCGTACTTTCTTGCGGCAGGAAAAGCAAAAAAAGCACAAGCTTGGCGGTCCTGCTGGTGACCCTATAAGTGATTTAGTCTTTGCGGCAATGTGAGCAAGTGTCACCGTCGTCAAGGTTCCATGGTGTAATGATTAGCACTCTGGTCTCTGAATCCAGCGATCCAAGTTCAAATCTCGGTGGGACCTGCTCTTTCCATGAATGTACACAGGACCTGCTTCGAAAAACTTTTTGTCAGCAGTGAGCCCCAAAAGCTCAGGAAGGGAGCATGACTTCATAGTATCAAAGCGCAGTCTGTCTAGTTAAGGAAGTTAACGTAAAAGGGAAGGTTTCTGCTTGGAGAATACAGGCATCGATCCCGCTATCTCTCGCATGCTAAGCAAGCGCTCTACCATTTGAGCTAATTCACCTGGCCACATGAGGATAGATGTCTTAGCCTTTGACATTGACTCAAGGTGTAGAAAGTCTTCAATGTTATGTAATTTTCCTCTTTTTGTTCTTTTCCTCTGGTAATTATGATGGCTGCCATCTTTTATTAGCTCATTTCTTCTAATGCTTGCCTAGTTCATTCAGTGTTTCTTTAAATGAAACTTTCTGAGCTTTCCTGTTGTCGTACCACACTTTGCATCAACTTCTCTTTTTTTTTTACATGTGCTTTATTACAAATAATTGACTTGGCTTTTACAAGATTTTGATCCTGTATCAGAAGTGACTTTTGTGATCAAGTAATTTCGCACCCATGAGAATTATAAGAGGATAAGTACTCCCAAGGAACCTTCATTACACATTAAATTTGTTTTTCTGCACACACACACACACAGGTTTGTTTTTGTGAAAAGTGGGGACATCCCATTTGTCACAAAAACGCGCGCACACACACACACACAGACATAAAAAGGCAGCACAGTTTGTCTTTGCTCTTCTTTTCTTTTTTTTATGGTCAACGATTCTTGGCTATTTGACGTGTGCAATTGAAACGTCCGATTGACCAGGCATTTTGGACGTCTCGTTCGTTCCCCATTCGGGCTAATTGGAGTTGTTCTGGCATGACTGGAAATAGCTGCCTGAGGGCAAAACTTGCTTTATCTTCCATTTCTGAAATCAGCTTCCTACCTTCATTAAGACTTTGCTGACTATCCTACACACCCTACAGGTAAGGCTAGGGAAACCATGGCAGAAACAAGTTTCTCAGAAATCGACGCACTTTAACACTTGTTTTTGCCACAGGTGCAGATTTTGTGATGCTCCTTGTGTTTAAAGCCATTTGAACAGTGATGCTCGTGGCTAGGCAGCGGATCAATGGCAGAACGAGCTGGCTCGTTGGTCTATGGGTATGATCTCACTTTGGTTGCAAGCGGTCCCGGGTGCAAATCCTGGATGAGCCTGTGCTGAGGCTTGGTCCTGAAGCTCTTCTGTCTCTTTAGTGTCATAGGCTACCAGCAAATTTTGAGAAAATTGGGAAGAAGTCCAGTCAGAACCAGGCTGGTTAGCTTAGTTGGTTAGAGTGTGGTGCTAATAACGCCAATGTTGCAGGTTCGATCCCCGTACGGGCCAGCCTCTTTTGTTCTCTGGGATGTCAGCTCTGCTCTTCTCACAAAGTGACGGGTGTTCTCATGGAAATCGCTGCTGGTTAGACAGATGGCTGATGTGGCTGAAAAAGCTCAGTTGGGAGAGCGTTAGACGGATGATCTAAAGGTCCCTGGTTTGATCCCGGGTTTTGTCAGATGCTCCCTGTCTTTGTCTTTTGGTCAAGGTGGACCTGTGGCCAAAATTCACTGTGAACCAACCCCGCTTTGTAATTGGCTCCCCAAAGCCACAACGCTATCTGCCATCCAAATGGCCGCCAGTGAAAAAGTGGTGGTTCCATGGTGTAATGGTTAGCATTCGGACTTTGAATCCAGTGCTCTGAGTTCAAATCTTGGTGGAACCTGCGTACTTTCTTGCGGCAAAAAAGCACAAGCTTGGAGGTACTGCTGGTGACCTAATAAGAGATTTAGTCTTTGCGGCAATGTGAGCAAGTGTCACTATCGTCAACGTTCCGTAGTGTAATGTTTAGCACTCTGGACTCTGAATCCAGCGATCCGATTTCAAATCTCGGTGGGACCTATGTATGCCAGGAATGTACACAGGACCCGCTTTGGAAAACTTTTTGTCAGCAGTGAGCCCCAAAAGTTCAGGTAGGGAGCATGACTACATAGCACCAAAGCACAGTCTGTCTAGTTAAGGAAGTTAACGTAAAAGGATAGGTTTCTGCTTGGAGAATGCAGGCATCAATCCCACTACTTCTCACATGCTAAGAGAGTGCTCTACCATTTGAGCTAATTCCCCTGAACATACGAGGAGGGATGTCTTAGCCTTTGACATTGTCTCAAGGTGAAGAAAGTCTTGCATGTTAGGTCATTTTCCTTGTTTTGTTCATGCTCTTGTTGTTCTTTCCTCTGGTAATTATGATGGCTGCCATCTTTTATTAGCTAATTTCTTCGAATGCTTGCTGATTTCATTCAGTGTTTCTTTAAATGAAACTTTCTGAGCTTTTCTGTTGTCGTACCACACTTTGCATCAACTTGATTTTTTTTTTTTTTGATTTTTTTTTTGATTTATTACAAATAATTGACTTGGCTTTCAAAAGATTGTGATCTTTTCAGAAGTGACTCAGGCAATTGTGGTGACGTATAGTCACATCAAGCAGCTGCTTGAAGACTGCAGAGAAGTGCTGGACAAGACCAACTTGGTGCTAGTTACGATCAACAACACTACTGTGTCATCTTGGAGAGTTGGTTCTTGGCTTCCTGAGTTCACTTTAGTAGTACATTCCCATTAACAAGTGCACTTCAGTAACAACTACTGAATGAGCTATTCTAATTCCAAATGTATTTGTATATTACATAGATTAAATGTATACATTGTTTCACAGCCGCTTTACATAAATGTTAATGGTTGGAATACTTTATTGCTTAATATTACACATCTCTCAGTTCTTGATTTTGATTGGTCAGTTGTGACATTTTCAAAGTCAGTTTCCCACAATAATGACCATCATCAGTAGTAGTGCTGTGTAACAGGCTACTCATCTTGTTATCTGAAGCCAGCACTGTTTCATGTCTCTTGAATCACACCATGAATTCTCTTTTTATTCAAACCCTGTAAGACCCAGATGAGCATTTGTTATTCATTGTTGCTATAATCTACAGTCAATATTGGGGAAAGACAGACCTTGGAATGTTGCAACTGATCAACCAGAATCAAGCATTTTAGATAATGTACATCCAGCTGGTAATCACTGAAGGGTGTTAAACACTGTCCCATTCAGGATTTATTTGCATGATAAATAACGCAATATTTAATATATACATTAAATAATGCTTCATGTGAGAGTACTGTAGGATAAAGTTGTAATTTTAAAAACAGTTGTGCCCTAACCCTAACCACACTCGGAACAATTCCTAACTCAGGTCCTAACAATCCTAACAGTTCCGAACAGCACTCAACGGGGCAAAGCAGCCATTGGTCAAATGGAGCAAAGCAGCCATTGGTCGAAACATTGTCATGTGACTACATCCATAAAAAGTGCGAGTACCAAAGCGTGGGTTCGTCGTTTTACACTGACCTCCATCACATTGTGACGCGAGATAGTTTTAATATTTTTCAATATTTTTATCAATTGTACGTCTTCGGATTGCGTGCAGGTGAGTACAGTATAATGTGATAAAGAAGCGGTACGCGACTTAGCTTCGTTTGACACTATGGTTCAATCTCAACCGCTTACGTTGCACTCGTGTAATTTAGATAACATTGTTCTTAATTTGGTGGTTTAACGCTTAGGCCTAACTTATATAGATATTAGAGGCTATATTTGGGCTATATAGTGATATAAATCGCGGTGGCCATTCATTTTGCAACAGCATAGCCGGAATTCCCTATATACAACGACGATATTTATTTTATTTTATTTATCCATTATTTTTCCAGGAAGGTCCCATTGAGATAAAAGAAATCTCTTCTTCCAGGGAGTCCTGGCCAAGATGACCGTACAAAAAAAAATTCACATAAAATTTCACAAACATACACCTCACAAGACAAAATTACATATAACCAAAGCAAAAACAATAATCATAAATCAGTAAATTAATTAAAACAACAACATGATTCATTTGCTAAACACTGCACT